TTAGGATTATTAACTTCATCTCTCATCTCTAAATTTTTAAATATGACAAGAAGCAGGTTTTCTCAAGACCCTAATTTTTACCCTTATAGTTTATAGAGGAAAAAATCTCCTCAGGGTGGTCCATCATGTGCTTGCAAAATTTCCAGAATACATATCCTTCATGGCATTAATTATTTACTATAGTTTGATCCAAATTAAGTTGTACTTTGTTATTGGATTAGGTTCTCTCTCTCTCGGTAGCAATTTTCTCTCTCTTTGGGCTGTCTGGCTTGCTGCGTTGTGTTTCATTAAACAAGCATGCTTTGCTACTCTATGGTCGGGCGTACGTGTACCCTTTTCACCCAAGTATATATTGATCATTTTTCGATCAGCCGACAGGTTCTTCATTTTCTCTCAGTCGAAACCCTTAAAGGGTTTCTCAGTTTTCTGCTCTGTTAGGATTTCTACACTACACACACACCGGAGGTATTTATCTATTATTTTTTCTATTAAAGATTGTTTTTTTTATGCTTGCTACCTAGATTAGTGGAAAAAATTAATAGATTGATCGGTGAAATATCATTTTATTTCATGGTATCAAAGTAGATATAGGAATGAAAAGTGAAAACTCTAACCGAACCGCTGCAAACCAAAACCCTAGCTTGTCGAATATAACAAATTTAGATCCTATGAACCCCGATAGTCTATATTACATAGAGAAGGGTCTGAACTCTAGCACAGTCTTAGTTCCTCAGCCATTTAAAGGGGATAACTATTATACATGGGCTTGCTCCATGAAATGAGCCATGAGAATCTAAAATAAGCTCGAGTTTGTAAAGGAAACTTTAATCAAACCGCTAGATCCCACTGATCCACTTAAAGAACATTGGATACGCTATAATGACATTGTAATTACTTGGATTCAAAATACCACCAGAGATCAAAGCTAGCACCTTTTATGCTGACACAACTCATCAGCTATGGTTGGACCTTGAACAGAGGCATGCTTAACAGAATACCTTAAGAATATTTGAAATTAAGCAGACAATTGTCAACCTTCTACAAAGCCAAAACCCAGTTAGGGTTTCCTTTATTAAATTGAAAAATCTAATTAATGAGTTAATGAATTATGTGCCAATGGCCAACTACATTTGTGGTGCCCTAAAAACTATTGTAGAGTACCAGGATAGGGATTACCTTATGAAGTTTCTTATAGGGTTGGATGATTCTTACAACGGAATGATAAGTCAAATATTGATGATGAGATCATTCCCTAGTATGAATGAGGTCTTCTATATTATCCAATAGGAAGATAAGCGAAGGCAAATATCCATAGAGTTTACGGCCAACAAGGCCATGGCTTTTAGCATCAAGGACACTAACAAATTAGCCAAAACTATCAATCCTAATAGGGAAAGGTATTTTTGCACTCACTGTAAAGTACCTGGACATTTTTTGGAGACGTGCTACAAAGCCAATCCAATATCCCTATATGCTCCCACTGTAACAAACTTAGACATACTATTGAGACCTGTTACAAGTTGAAGGGACAACCCAAATGATAGAAGTCACAATCCAAATGCAAACAAACATATGTTAACCAAGTGTCCACCACTAAATCAGTAGAACAACCAGCAAATGATGGGCCCCACTCACTGGCTAGAGAGCAGTATGATGAATTAATATCTTTGATGCAGGAAAATAGGCCGACTGTCAACATGGTCTGTTCCACTTGTGAGTCTTCTTAAAATCCAAAACTAGCAAGTTTCACTGGTAAACGTTTATGCTTTAATACAAGTTTGGTTAGTGTAGATGAGAATTCACATGTTCCTTGGATAGTAGACATAGGAGCTTCACATCATATAATTCATATATGACATTTATATACTGAAATTACTTTGTACAATGCATCTCATGTATTGTTACCTAATGGGGAAAAGGTAGAAGTCTCACATGTTGGAGTAGTTAAGTTGAATGATAGTTTAATGCTCAACAGTGTACTGTGTGTTCCTTCCTTCAATTTTAATCTTATATTAGCAAGAAGATTAGCCCAAAATGCCAAATGTTATTTGATTTTTTCACAAGAGCACGACTTTATTCAGGACCTTATGACATAAAAGACTCTTGGAGTGGGGGAAGTTAGAGATGGGTTGTACCAGCTTAGGGATGCTGAAGGCTTGAAGGATTCAGGTCAACATTTTTGGTGGGATCAGTGACCTTGGGACCCAACAAGAAAGAAGAATGTTTTGACATTTGGCACTACAAACTCGGACATCCCTCATCTTTCAAAAAGATTGTTGATGTAAATTTAGAAAAATCAGGATGTTGTAAGTTGTGCAATATATGTCCTTTAGCAAAGATGCATAGATTGTCCTTTGGTGATAGTACTAGTAGAGCCAAAAATGTTTTTGATTTGATACATTGTGATGTTTGAGAACCTTATAGTAAAGTTTCCCATAATGGAAGCAAGTATTTTTTTTACTAGTGTGGATGATTACAACATATGCACTTAGATATATATGATGAAAACTAAGGCTGAAACAAGACTTAATTTATAGCATTTTTTTTTATATTTATTGAAAGGCAATTTGACAGGAAAGTGAAGATAATCCGAAATGATAATGGGAAAGAGTTTGAAATGGGGAGATTTTATGATGATAGAGGAATAATCCACCAACGAAGCTGTGTTGAGACCCCTCAACAGAATGGAAGAGTTGAATGGAAACATCAACAAATATTAAACACTGCTAGAACCTTAAACTTTCAAAGTGAGCTTAATGACAGGTAGTGGAGTGATTTGGTCTTAACTGCAGTATATTTAATTAATAAACTTCCCTCAACAGATATTGAAAAAAAGACGTTGTTTGAGTTATTATATGGAAAGAGACCCGGGTCTAATTACTTGAAAGTTTATGGTTGTTTAGCTTTTGCTTCTACATTAACCTGTAGTAGATTGAAACATGATGCTAGAGCTAGAAGGTGTATCTTTATTGGATACCCCTTTGCAATAAAGGGATATAGACTACTTGATGAGGAAACTAGTAAGATATTTATTTCTAGAAATGTAATTTTTCACGAGACAATTTTTTCATGCAGAGAAAGAAAAGAATCAGGAGAGACATACTCATCCTAATTGGCTCTTAACAACACCACTAGTGTTGTGCCATGGGTACCTACAATTGTCCCTTAAAACACCAGAACAGTTGCTGTAGAAGAAGAGAATGGAGAAACTAGAATGGAATGGGAACATGTTGAACAAGATAAGTGCCAATTTCGAAGAAAATAATTCAGCTACTATCAGTGAGACACTCAGAAGAGAATCCGCAAGAATAAAGAGAAGATTAGAATATTTAAGAGGCTATGTGTGTGAGTAAATTTTAGACTACTCTCCAGATCATAAAGATAAAGCTGAAAGTTTGAGAATTATGTTGCGATGTCTATCTCTATGACGGTCGGATACTAAAGGATTAAGGGGGCACATAAAAGGTACTTGCAGAATGTGTCAATTTAGAAGGAGCTGGATTCATATGAGACAGCCAGCCAAGATGTCAGTTAGAAAAAAGCCATGATTCATGACCTGGAAGCCTTAGAATAGAACAAGACATGGAAACTTGTGGACTTACCCCCTAAAAAGAAAGCTATTGGGTATAAGTTGGTCTACAAAATTAAGTGCAAGGCTGATAGATCAATTAAGAGATATAAGATAAGATTGGTAATAAAAGGGTACACTCAAAAGAAGGGTCTGGATTATCATGAGACCTTCTCACCAGCAGCTAAGATTATCACTATTAGAACTCTCATAACGCTTGCCACTGTGAAGAATTGACATTTACAGTAATTTGATGTAAACAATGCATTTCTATATGGAGATCTTAAAGAGAAAGTCCATGGA